ATATGTATGCTGTAATCATTATGGCGTCCCCGACCATCCTAAATCAGCCTTTCACACGCCCTGTGCAGCAGAGAGACGTCGACAGCCGAGATAGCGAGCTGTGAAGGGTGGAAGTCCGACACCTACTTCAATCAGCCAGTTCAAGTGTGATGTCTGCGCTTATGTTTTGATTTCACTGTGTGGGAATCCAGACACGGTGTGAAGTGGTTTGATTCCACTGACGTGGCTGAAATGACTTTATCGGTTCTGCGAAGGCTTGCTACTCAAAAGGATGTAAATAGAATAACGTGAATCGATTGTCTTGCTCCGCCCAACTGATACTTCATAAGTCAAAATCAATACATGGCTGCCAGCTTTAATAGGGGATATTCATTATTTGGATTATCAATCATCATGTCTGTGTGAAAGGGCACGCTGGTCATTATGTGTCTCCTCACCTGCTCCGCAGTCTTTTGAGCCTGCAAATGGGAATGAAGTCGTCGTATTAAAGGCATCCCATTTCGTGACTGCCGTTTAAGTAACCAGTAGTTGTGAAGCCTCTGCATGAACTGATTCTTCCTCTGGACTTCAACCCCTGTGCAGATCTTATTCAGCCTGTGGAAAATGTAACGGATATACATTAAAACTTAAAAGGTTGCAGTACTGGTGGTCATAGAAACATCACTAACTCATGACTCCATAGGAGTATAAAGTACTCTTTCTTAATTCACTTCAGTGTTTCCAGTGGAACCCAGCAAGAATGCTAATACTATCGTACAAGGCAGCACACTTAGTGAATAAGGCGTGCTGGGTATGTAAATTTCCCCAGCACGCAAATGTCGAACCTGTGAGAGGGGATCTGAGGCACCAGCAGCACAGGCACGGTTGAGCGGCGTGTCGACCGAGCAGACCCCTTAGCGCCCTTCTTCTTCTGGCCCTTGGTGGCCTTCTTGTTTGGTGGTGGCGGCGGGGGGCTTTGAGTGTAGGATCGTTGACCCCGGTTGCCCCTCCCACCCACCAGTCTCCCTTCAACTGACTCGTCTCCGGACCCGTCCCGCCGAGACCCCACTGGAGAATGATGCTCACAGAAAGCAGTCTTTTTGACAGAGAAGGTGGTACCGTTGACCCCCGTCTCCCGGACGGGGTCTATCTTCATAAACAGGCCGGCCTTCTGGGCGCAAGTGACATGAAAGGCCCTGTAGCAGTTGGCTTTGTGGCACTGAATGGACGCTCCTCTGCCTTTCTGCTTGCACAGGTAGCAGGTGAGCTTCCAACGAGCGGGAGGGATGTTCTTGACCCCCTCAACGGGCTCCAGAAACACCGTGTTGGCAAAGCACACCTCTGGGATCCATATGGCACAAACGACGTGGGCCCAGCGTCCGTCACTCGTCTGCTTGAAGGCACCTCCTTGGTTGGGGCAGAGCACACAGTCTACGGGACGGGAGGGCGACTGCAGGCAGCAGCGGCACAGCCACTGGCCCTCCGGTACGTAGGGCACGCCGTAGCACTCCTGGTGGACGGCCAGATTGCAGATGTCACAGAACAGGATGACATTACTGTTCAGACATTCGTCGTCCAGACAGACGCAGCAGAAAGCGTCCTCGTCCACAGCACTCTGGGACAGAGCCTGGCTGCGCGACTCCAAGATGGATTCCCTCTCCAGGCGGTCAATCAGCAGCTCAAAGGCGTCCGCGGTAACGGAGGCGTGGCCGTCACACACTCGCTTTTGGTTGACCATCTCCAGCCAGGCGAGGTCCTCCTCGTCCATGTCGTACTCAGCCACACTGTCCTGTTCCTCCATTGACCTTTCTATGAACCGATAGTAGGCGGTCGGCAGAGGAGGCGCCTCTGAGGGGCAGACTGAACTCAGCACGCGAAAGATGGGCTCGGGCAGAGGGATATGGTGAGCCGGTTGCTGCAGAGAGTTAGTAGGTCCTGTGTGCTGCTGGGAGCCGGACCGTTGGTTCTGGTGAGAGGTGTTTTTAACACTCTTCCTGCTTTTACTGTTTGGCGGTTTCCTCCATGATCTAGTCTTAGTCTGCGTTTGCTCACTGTTCTCCTTGTTGCTGTTGCACTCAGCGATATCCTGGGCCATCATCTCGTCCTCGGTGATCACCGGCAGAGCGTCCGTGATGTTAATCCGATGGAGCCTTCCCTCCAGGTCCACTTCCACTATCTTCTGCGCCTGAGCGTACGTCAAAGTCTCCCTGGATGGAGAGAGCTGCAGTCTGTAGGGCGAAGGGGGCCGCAACTGTCCAGATGATCCCCTGCCCCTTCCTCTCCCTCTGCCTCGGCCCCTACCCATCTTGAGTCCGCTGGCAACTGTGTCACATTCCCAGCTCCTCACCTTCCGCATGGGGGTTTAAACCAGCTCCCTAACAGGGACAAAAAAATAGGAAAATATATTTAAATGCTTATGCAATACTTTGCATGATTATCTGTTTTGTAATGAATATGTTTTATATGTTGTAATCTGTACCATGTAATCATCACAAGTCATTATATCCGAATGTGATTTCACTTGGAAATAACTAATTTGTTATTAGGTTATTATTGCTTAACTTATCCTTTGGTGTTTCTTGATTATAGAAAACGCCAAATAGAAAAGGGTATTAATGTAGGATTTTGACTTAATCATGAATAGAAATATATTAAGGTCTGCTATCGGTATGAATTTTGAGTTACCCTGATTAATTATGCTCCTTTAGGTTTTTGCCAATGTAAAGAGTGCAATTCTGCATTTTTTTGTCTGAATCCTTGTCTTTCCTTTTCTATTCTACACAACCGTTACTGGGGAAAGGGGGTCAACTCTGTGCTGTTGCAATAAAAACACAGCATGTTACCTCAAGTACTCTCTGCACATACACAACTACAGTAAATTGTACTGCTCGCATGTATGAACCTAAGATGTCTCTCCATTGGTCCAATCATTAGACTGTACCCGCCCCACATTTCCCTCAACCCAATCAAATTTCCGAATCCTCTATTTTTTTTTCCCTGTTCCTGTGCGTAGTTAGGTTGACGCGCGCTCGGCTGAATACCAACCCGAGTATCTAACATCTGTCAGCCATTTTAAACGTACAACAGCAGAGACAACATTTGGATTGCAAGTTGATTAGTAGCCCAATTATACACGCCAACAGCAACCAGAAAGCAGACGCACTGTATGCGCCGTGCCCGAATGCATAAATGACTGGCATGTATACGTTAGATCACGAAACTGCAAATGTGAAACGTTTCGTCAACAGCTTTTTACCAAAGACCGCTGCGAAAAGATTGTCTGGTTGATGTGATAACGATACTCGGTCGGACAGGACACGCAGAAGTCGAGTAATGTTAACAGAACGACAGGTTTCCTCGTCGACGATGATCATGCTGAACATATCGGGGTGGTTTACCTTGTAAAATCGTCCTCTGCAGTGCGAGTGTCAAACTGAATAACTGCACCTAGCTAAGTGTCAGCTAGTGACAGACTACAACCAAGGCGGACATGCTAGCCGTTAGCTTAGCTAGCCGGTCATTTCAGGAGCGACAGCGTCATCTTCAGCGCTTCAGTTCTACCCCGTGGCCACGGTCAAACAAACTAACTCAACCTGGTTTCATAGTTAAGGTTTAAACCTGTCAAACGATGTCGGTTCCCAAATCAAGGGTGGCAAAATTCCGAAGATATCAAATTAATGCTCCTTGGATGAGGCAAAATATTCAGTCGAGATGGGTTGAAAAATACGCCCCTTTGGAGAAAAAATACACCTCAGCCAATTGTAAGTCGCTGTATCACCTCGCGCGCAACGCGCATTGTTTTCTGATTGGTCAGAAAGAAAAACCGAATACATCAAACTCAATCCGAGGATCCCAACAGCAAGAAGCGAAGAGAAAAACAACGAGACGTATATTACGCGCCCTTCGGACCCGTCTTAGTTTCCTATAAACCCATATTGTACCTTTAATAGAACTACACCTGCTGGAGTATAGTTTCTGAGACTTTAATAATCTGTAGAGGAGTAAGTTTACAATTTTGCAGACATTCTACTAAATATTATATAAGAAATATAATAACATAGTAATAGATAAACAATAACACATCAAAATGTATATATTACTGCAAGTGTGACAACGTTTTTTAAACAGCATTAGGCCACATTACGAGGGGATGAAATCTTACTGTGCAACGTTGCTATATAGTGAAAGTAATAAATAGCTGATAAGACTAAAATCACTTTTTTACCTTCTTTTTCCACTGGTACAGTACAACATTTGACAATAATGTTGTGGAGTTGAGGCCAATCAAAGCCATCAAACTTAATCACCCCCCCTGGAAAAAGTAGATAGATACTCTTGCTTAATTTTGCTGTTGCAGATATAATGTAATTTTCTAGGCTATACTGCATAGCTCAAACTGATGAGCTGGCCACTGGCTGACAGTGAGTATTTTAGGTCACTGCTCCAACAAAGGAGCTATATTGTTGTACTGTTGAACGCAGGGTGATAATTCAATTAAAGAAAAATATATACTACATTGTTATGTCATGTTAGACATTAGCCCATTCTTTAACATGTTCTTTTCAGCTTGCTGTTCCAGATATTAATGTTAAAATACAAATGTATTAACATCCCTGTTGTTATTCTTGCTATTTTGTTTGCATTAGAAAATGAAAATGGTTCATTAAAACATACAGTGGCATGAGGATAACCGAATCCACAGTACCAATCTGTATATCAGAGTATAATCCTTTAATCTATCGAAGTTTACTCAATTCATTGCACTAGCAGCAACACTTTTCCCTCCTAAATAAACAAAATAAGTAAAATGTGTAGCTAACTTTAAGTGTAACATACAATGACAGCTGCTTCCAATTATTCAACGTTGTTCACATCAAATGCAAATATTATAAGATCTGCAATACTCAGCTTCATCACAATATATAATCATTTATAAGTTTGATGGTTTTCTGTTACAAGATAATGATAATCATTCATATTGTAAAGCTATATTCTTTATTTTTTTGTATAACACAACAGCTACATGTTTGTACCCCATGCTGCTTCTTCCCACCCCTCGAAAATCACTCTACTTTCTCCACCCACAAACGCTTTGCCGGCAGTCTCAACACAACTTCAGATCACTCTGGCTCACTCGTGTCTGTGGGAAGTCTGACGTTCCAGCAGCAGCTACATCTTGGACTCTCGTCAGGTGCTATGGACTTACATCACGCACACTCCACTTAATGATCGTTGCTTGAACTGTCTGCTTTGTTAATTTGTTCCAACGCTTTCCATTTGTACCAAGAAAGGTCTTAATTATACACATATTTAAGTTTACCCGTGTGATTCATGTGATGGACACCCAACTAATTGTCTTTTGTACTTAAAGGATGCAAATCAGGAGAATCAGGATGCCGTCTACCTACTTTGTATTGTCCGTTGTTTTTTTCCTGGACATGGGAGTGTGCACTGCAGGTAAGGAACTATCTTTTTGTAAATCACAGGTTTTTACTTGTGCAAAAATAGGAATGACAGACCTAAACAATGTACCATATTTAAAACGGCTTGTACATCAATTTCAAACCATGTTGACAGTGATTGTGTAAGTAAATGTTAAATGGACTCTGTAGAATTTCTCTTGTCCTCCGACCACTCAAACTGTAACACTACAAGTTATCATTCCCCCATTCATACTCATTCATACGCTGTTGACGGGACACTGCACTGGTGCCACTTTCCCATCGGGACTATTTAAGTTCATACCATTCACACACCGTTAGTTGCAGCTACGGGATTAGACCGTCGAACCTCTAATTGGACCCTGCTTTCCACAGAGCCACTGTAGTGATGTAACGTGATTGACAACGATGGGAAATGCAGATTTTTTTTCTCCCTTTTTACTCATATTAGAATGTCGGAGCCGGTCGCTGCATTTATGAATCGTTGTGGTGACAGCTTTCTTTACTTCTCTGCCAAAACGTCTGATGTTTTATGCTGTTGTATCGGCCTTACATAAAAAGTCACATACAAAGTCAGCTCAGATCAATATCAATATGTAGCGCTACATCCTGTCCAACTGTTGTAGAAAAATAGAAAGGGAAGCAGGCCAGTTGACCACTGGCCTGCTTCCCTTTCTCTAAGAGGCAAACAAGGGCCTTATGTCTCAGAGTGGCCAAAAAGTCTTGAAGAGCTTGTATTTGTGTCATCTTTTGAATAGGAGGATCTGATGGTTGTCAGGTTCATGCTGTGGTGATGGATCCCCGGGGTCTTGGCCTGAATCAAGGCTTTTGATACTCCCCCTCCCACCTCCCACCTCACAGTGGCAAGGCACTGAGACTTTCTGAATGAAAACACTAAACTCTAAATAGATTGGGGTGTGTAAACCGTTTCAAGTAGGAGATGAGAGTGGCCAGATCTCTGGGATACAGGAAGCCAGTAATGTCTGGCAGGTCAATACATTCACCCCAAAGTTCACCTCAAACATCTCAGCGTGTCAGAGCAAAGTCTGAAGATGGCCAAATGCACAAAGGGCTCTTTGATTCCGCTAAATTCAACTGTGAAAAAACGGTTTGTCAAAACGAATCAGCAGCCAGTTGTCATAGAATTATTGCAATGTGTTGCCATATTGCACCTTCCAGTCAAAGTAAATAATGTTTATCCATCCAAAACAGGAAGCTAACATTTAGATAATCGAAATATTATATTTATGATTGTATAAGCACAGAGGTGCTTTGAGCTAAATGCTATTGTCGAAAAAGGTGAAGCCACTTTTAGTAGTAGAAATCCTCTAGGAGCTGTGATTGTCTGAACAGAAGTAATTCCCAATCGAACCTAGTGGATCAAAGTAATTATGGTTTATCCTCCTCGAACAGTAGATGACAAAGTTTTATTCCTATCCATACGATAGCTGCTGACATATTTCAGTCGATGGATTACTGTTTTGGTTTTTGCTCTTTAAGGTTCAACCATAGAGTGATTTGCTTTTCATATTTACCCTATTTTATCAAATTTTAAAAGCGTTTCAAATATTAATTATTTTATCTTTCTTGACCCTTTAATTACCTGGTGACCTCAGATTTATTTTAAGACCCCTTCAGGAGGTCCCCCGACCCCGCGGGTTGAGAACCGCTCATTCCTTCCTCGTCATATATTTGTTCGACACAATGAACAGTGTTTGTGCCTGAAAGTTATTGTCCTAACATCTGTCTTATTTTTCTTCCCCAACATCAGTGCAATCAGAGATGAGAATCACAACAATAAAGGTAGTTGACTTGTTTATTTTAGCCTCCAAAGGAATATAGACAATTTACAGATAAAACACATTTCACTGCTAACCTTTGGTATGTTTTCTTTTAGCAAGAGCCATATGCGATGTCCAAAGGCTCACAACTGGAAGGCTTTTGCATGGACCTGCTCTCTGAAATAGCCAAAAAACTGGGCTTCAAGTTCAGAGTGCAGCTGGTAAAAGATGCTTCGTACGGCCGACAAGACGAGAGCGGCAACTGGAATGGAATGATTGGAGAGGTGGTTAGAGGGGTGAGCACATGAAAACGGGTGGAGGGGTAAAAGAGCAACCAACTAGCCTGTGAGAGCTTGAACTACTCAGCTGGCGTCTGTGACTCATAACGGCTCCATTCAAAGAGAATGAATGAGAGGCGGGAGCAATAGCAGCAGGGTTATTGGTGCAAATAGAATTCCTTTTAATGTACAGTATTCATGTGCTCCGACAGGAAGCCGACCTTGCGATTGCTCCGCTGACTCTTACTGCGGCTCGGGAGAAAGCGGTGGGGATGACGAAACCCTTCATGCAGACAGGAATCAGCATCCTGCTGAGGAAGGACATCTCAGAGGGAATCGGCTTCTTTGATTTCCTCTCCCCCTTTGCGGTCGAGACCTGGGTCGGCATACTTGTCGCCTACCTGGGGACCGCTGCTTGCATCTGGGTAGTTGCCAGGTTGGTGATGGAGGTGCTTTTAGTGTCTTAAGGATGGTGATGATAATGATTTCTCTGTAATTGATTGTGCTGTGGATTTGAACGTCAAGGTATGTTACACTTGTCTTTATATTGTCACATTTCGGCCCGCAGTGGAATCCCCTTTGAGTGCGTTCACAATAATGTTATTAATGTTAGTATTTGCTTGCAGACTTAGCCCGTGCGAGTGGAGTCAGCCTCAAAGTGAGCAGAACCGATTCAGCCTCCTCCACAGCCTTTGGTACACAGCGGGAGCTTTCACACTCCAAGGTAAATGGGGACAACCAGACGCTGGCGATAATGCATGAATTGGTCTGTTAGTTTCCTGGTGATTCACAACCTCGCGACCTTTCACTGCGACTTCTTTTGAGAGTTCTCTGTTTGTGCTGTCAGGTGCTGGGCCACACCCCAAAGCTCCTTCAGGACGTGTCATCAGCTGCAGCTGGTGGTTATTTACCATCGTGCTCCTGGCGTGTTATTTCTCCCACCTCAGCTCCTCTAAGACCCCCGAGTCCACACACCTGACGGTGAAAGGTTTTGAGGACTTGGCCAATCAGGATACAATTGAGTACGGCTGCCTGGCTGGCTCTTCCACCCTCGCCTTCTTCAAGGTACTGACGTTGGCTCACTAGTGAATCCCACCGTGTCAGTGCTTATTCTCTAACACTGCCTGTCCTTCCTGCAGAATTCAAACAATCCAGTGTACCGCAGAATCTACGAACACATGGAGAGAACCAAGAGTTTCGTATCATCCATGGACGAAGGAGTCCGGCGTGCAAAAGAAGGAAACTTTGCCTTCATCGGAGAGTCAGTTTCTCTGGATTTGGCCGTTGCACGCCACTGTGAGCTGGTCAGGGCACACGAAGTCGTTGGAATGAGGGGTTACAGCATCGCCGCCGCCCTTGGTGAGCCGCGCAATTTATTTATTAGTTATATTGAAAAAAATAAAATAATACGAATTGAAAAATGAACAAATAAGCCCATCCATTTCCTCAAGGCTCACCCATCATAAAGAACCTCAGCGTGGCAATCCTCCAGCTGAGCGAGGCGGGGGAGCTGGCTTACCTGCGAAGCAAGTGGTGGGCCAGCAGCTGCATGGCCGACAAGGCCAAGTCTTCAGCTGTGCAGCAACACGGCCTGAAGGGGATGTTTGTGGTTCTTTCCCTCGGCCTGGGGCTCGGAGCGCTGCTGGCTGTCCTGGAGCTCACCGCCAAGAGCCGCAGGAGCGCAGCCGAGCAGAAGGTGCGGGAATGTCAGGCATAAAAAAAAAAAAACAGACAACCACCCATCTCCTTGGTGTTAACCTCTTTGAATCTAATCCAAACACCCTTTTCTGGGTTCATTCAATTGTGTTTCATTTCTTCAGCCTAAAGGACTGCAAAGTTTTCTCAATCATTTAATGACAGCACAGTTTAAAGCAACCCTGTCATCAAACTGAGGAACAAAATGCAGAGGACACGCGGACGTAGTTGGCCGTGCGCTCTCATCCACTCAGCCATGTTTACATTAAATTCATCAACATTTTATTGCATTGATTTCTTTTACGGATGATATATTTATTTGTCGTTCCCACAGAAATCCTGCTGCACGGTGCTGACTGAAGAGCTGAGTCTGCGCTTGAGGACCAGCAATGCAAACAAACCCCAAGAAAATGTAGACAAAGATAAAGAAAAAGCATGAACATTCTTGCAAACATGTAGTTTTAACAAGTAATATGAATATATCACCTTGATTCAAGGGAGATATGACAGGCATCTTCTCCTTGTCTTTGAACTTTTAGTATTTTGACATAGATTAATTTATCCGTAGGTTTTGAATCTTCTTAGTTGTAACGATACATCAGATAAAAAAAATCCCTTAATATGATTTTCAAGTAAGAATGCTACAATTTGAATGAAAAAGCAATTGTTTGAATATTATAAAAAACAATTATTAAAAAGATCCGTGTAACTACGACCTAACAATCTGACTAACAAATAATGCTCATGTACCTACTTAGTTTTCTAAATTAACATGCTGTTTTGTACAGTTGGCAATGGCATTACAGATAATAAAAACAATAAAAATAAAGATTTCATGCTTGAACGCTGTGCTGACATTACAGCCTTTTTAAAACAATAAAAAACTGTCTAATCGAGGAATTCTGCGTGGTGTCGTCCTACTGGTCTATTAAAAAAACTTCAGATCCATCTTTATGTGTCTTTATGTGGAGATATGACTCAAATCTTATCCGATCTAAAATACAGCACTAACTACGACTTTATACATTCACTTAACTTCTGCATCCATGAATGACCCCTACGACTCACTACTTTGAAAAAGTGGTGATTTACAGTGGATCTCTCTCATCTTCTGGTCAAAAAGGGCCTTCATCTCCCTCTGCAGCGTCCCCTCGCGTTTCTCCGTCCCGGCCAGCGCGCCGGACGGCACAAACTCCCGGCTGTCGGTGCTGCCTCCACTGCTGACGGAGGTGCTGTCGGACAGGCACAGCCCGTTGGGGATGGGCCTCACCTGGCTGCCGTAGCTGCAGTAGTTTTGTGCTCGCTGTGTCTGCCAGTGGGCGGAAGGCTGCCGGCTCATCATCGGCGTCTGGGGAGAGGCGGCCGTCTTCCGAGGGCAGCTGCGCGAGCGGGCCTTCGTTCGCGCATTGGTAGGCGGTCGGGGTCTAGAGGAAGCCTCTAAAGTTCGCCTCACCCTGGCAGGCGACGAAGGAGGGATGAGTTGAGGGAAGTAGGTTTCAGGCGGGAGCACGTGCTGGGCGACGGGCCGAGGCCGAGGGAGGGAATCGGGCCGGCTTTGAGTTTCGGCTGGTTGCTCGGGTCCAATGGAAGTGACCCTGTCGGGCTCCGGTAATTCCTCAGATGGTTCAGGCTGCTCCGGTTCAAACATTTGAACGGTCTCCTGCTCGGGACAGTTTGATTCATCAGGTTCATTCTCTAACTCTTCTTGAATTCGATCCTCGCTGTCAGGCTGATCGAAACTAGAACCCTGGGGCGACGTCTCAAAGTCAAAGCTGTCGGCCTTCGCATAGGGAGCAGCCCCAATGTGGTGGGAGTCCGTGGAGGACATCCGGCTGAAGACCCCTCTCCTCGTCTCTGGTGGTTCATGGATTTTAACTCTGTGGCTTCGCTTCACTGGCTCACTCATGGCCCCTTTGTGCATGGCAGCCCTGGCTGCTGGGCCCATTAGCAGAGGAAATATTTCACCATTCCTGCTGTCCTGAGAAATGGTATCCAGATCCTTGCGGAAGAACAAACCGCGTCCGTCTTCTGAGGACTGGACAGAGAAGTCCAGAGACGGATGCCTTTGGGGGCCCTTCATATGCTTCTGGGCTGCTTTTTGGAAGTGTTTTCTAGCTGCGTGCACCGCATTTGTGGGTTTCATCTGTTTCGCAAAGGACACCAATGTTTTTGAGATTAATTGTTGGGAAGATGAAATTATATTTGTGAGTTACTTTAAAAAACACAACAACGTACCTTTCCAGTTATATCATTCATAGCGACATGAACAAAGATGGATGACTCTGCCTTTCCATCCAAGTACACGTGCCGATAACCTACAAATGTAGCATTAAAAAAATGTATTGGTATTAAAGGAAAAGTTTGCCGTTGGAAATTATGGCCATTTGATTTCCTGCTGGAAGCTTTCTGATTAACATCTTATTTCCTGTTAATTTGATCTGTACATTGCTGTCTGAAACGGTTTCAATTTCTGTATGCTCAGCTAAGTCAACTTATTGATTTGACAGACATCAGAGTCGTACCAATCTTCCCAATTAACCATCTGCACTAAGCATATTTCCCAAATGACTCACCTGGCATCATACTCCTGAAGGCAACAGTCCTCTGTCCAATGAAATCACGTCCAATAGGATCATGATCCCACACCTGGAAACGCACCAGGGCAATCTGTGGCATTTGAATGTTGAAGACGAGGGTCTCCTCCCACATCGGGTTGAAACCTGAATGACCATTCAAAGGATGTTGTACAAATAGAAAAAGCTGGAAGATCACTGTCTGTTATGAGATCATGAGAGCAGAAGTACCATTATCATCCACCACCCTGGTCTGCTGCTTGGAACAATCTACGTTTAGGCCGATTATCTCCACCTCAACAAAAGGATCGATGATCTGTGTGAAAAAAAAAAACAGTTTTTCAGTGACGAGAGAGATTTTTGCCTCAATATTACATAATATCTGCGGAATCTTTACCTCTCCTCTGTCCCCAAACATGGAGTCTTTGGGTTTGGGAAGCTGCTGTCCGCTGATGATCTTCAACACAAGCTGAGTCTTCCTCTGTCCTGGTAGAGGATCCTCCAACATGGGGTTAAAGGAAGCTGAGAAAAAAACAACATGTCTGAACCTGCAGACACATGATATAAACCCTCACAATCCTTAATTTGTACATACCTTTACTTATACACTTGGGCCTTAGAATATATCCACAGTTTCCATTGCTTGAGAACTTGGCTTGGTTCATTTCAAGCATTCGGCCCTCTGTTTGATAATTCATTGCAACTAAAAGGAAACATATGTAGGTAAACACACTGTGGTTGCCGTTTTTAGGCAGCAGGCAGCATTGCAGTCCGCGTGACGGTCTCACCCATGTGGCACCCTGCGTTCCAGTATGGTTGCGGGTTGAAGTTGCTCGAGTCCACTCTGTAGTTGGAGGGATAGACTCTCATAAGTTGCCGTTGGTTGAAACGGACCAACTCCCCCGGCTTCAGCTGTAAGATCTGGTTCATGACGGTCTCGTTGAGGGACGATACCTGCCAACTGTTTGCGAACGCTACCAGACAGGGAACAAAAACACATAACACAGCTATTCCTAAAATATATGATGAATATTAAGATTGCATGTGTAATAAAAACCAAGTTGAATATCCTTTACCTTGTGTGTCTATGTCATGCACACGGACAGATTTTGTGTACTTGACCAGGTCGGACAGAGCCCGGGACAACCTCATTGTTTTCCTCTTTCTGAAGAGAGAGTGAGTAGAGAAAGGTTCAGGTCAAACTGCTGGTGCAAAGAGTGTTAACTGGCTAATTCAATAACTGGTCTTACTTGGGATGGTAAACAATCTTTGTTCTCTCCTTGATGCTGCTTTGGTCAGACTCGCCATCAGACAGTGTCTTGCTTCTTACTCTGATTCTCTTTTTTCTCTGAAAACGAAAGCACCTTTTACATTTTTCTATAACTTTATACAGGTTTGTAAAACAAGCATGAGGACGAACCTTTCGTTTGAAGCTCCTCATGATGGAACTGCCAAATCGAGTGTTCTTTTTGGTTTGATTGTTAGAATTAATGATACCCCCCTCCTGAAACAGTCAAACATAATGCATGATTATCCATTTATCTATGTACCTGCCTTTTATTTATCTATTAATCAAGCTTTCATTTGCCTGTGAGTCGTCATTATCATCTTCGCCTTCCTCCTCTTCCTCATCACCGGTGTCTTCATCAGACACGTCACCCTCCTCTGCATCAGGATCAAGGTTTGCTGGCAGCTTTTTACCCTTGAAAAGAAGAATTATTGCCTGAGTATTATAAGAAAACGTGGGATCGTGTGTGTGCTTTGTTCGAGTATCCTTGAGTAGCAAACGGCGGACAAAGACTTTACCTTGACTAGGACTTTCCCTTTCAGGATCTCAGGGGACGGCAGCTTCTTGGATTCGTGCACATTGACACTTGAAAGGTCCAGTTTGTCCTGCAGCACCTCTCGCAGATACTCAGCCATCTTTTTCTGCTGAGGCACACTGCAGTGGTTCTCTATGGACAAGATCACTGGGTACCTGGGAAGCAGACGGGGGGTTATGACTCTTTTTCATTGGGAAGGCTTGACGGAGAAAAAACACTTACGGTGATTTAGTGAAGGCATATTTGTTAATGGTTTCGATGACATCTTTGAAGAGAATTTTGGATGTCAAGGTGTAGCCGTGATGAATGATAGGCTCCCCGTCAGGCCCGTCCCAACAGTCCACTGAGGGAGGAGGAGGCAAGGACAAAAAAAAAAGGATGAGCGTGTGTCATGTAATCACAATGAAGAGAGTTCTGGGTTTTCAGGCTCTTACCCTCCACGCAGCGACAGCCTGCCTGGAGAACATAGGCGTACATTTCCACGCGAGACTGAGACAGCAGCTGGTCCCCCGTCAGGTAGGTGTTGTGTGAAGTGGCGATGAAGTAGTTAGTCAGAGGCTGCGTCATGTCCTGGTTCACACGGTTGTGCTCAGGGTTGAAAATATCCCCAGCAGGGCTCCTCATGTAGTTGGTAAAACCTTAAGGAAGAAAAGTGTCAGAGAATGTGTTTTTTTTTTTTTTTGTATGTTGATGTTGTGTCCGGTTCAATTGATGCATTAAATAAGTTGTTATTTGGAAGTTACCCGTACCATCAATACCGAGTACCGTACGCTGCAGGTTCTCAGGACATGGTTCAAACCGGGCCACGATGTCAATTAAATACTCTTTAGCCAATCCTCGCATCTGCAAATAAAAAAATATCATGGATGTCACTTTCTGTTCAACTGCTTCAGTATTTCACTGGTATGTCACATCTGTGGAAGGCTTTTAATGTGAAGTAGGACATGTTCTCTTGTAGTTCTTTAAAAAAAGGTTTAAAGATGCTCAATTAGATATTCCGAGCATTATTAGAGCAATAACCAATTTGTAAAGATATGGGGGAATCGCGCAATCAGGCGTTGGATATGTTCTGGATTTATATTTATCACCTTTTAAGGCATTTGTGGTTCACTAACAGTGAGGCCGACACCAATAGAATGAAAATATAAACAGTATCATCGCACTTTACTTTAAAACAAATATACACAAACAAGCATTTCACATTCTGTTGGTACCTTCTGTTCGTTTTCCAGGAAGCGTGCAATGTCGTGCAGATCCATGACTTCTTTCTGATTGCTGTAGGAGATCATTATCAGGTAGAGGTCTCTGCGTGTGGAAATCATCTTATAGAACAAACAGAATTCTTCAAAGGCCAGAGAGCCCTGGTTGTCGTCTGTGTCTGCTTCCTGCACACAACAATAAAAGGTATTTTATTAGAAAGAAATCATCTCTCAATGTTAAGGTTAAATAGTCCTGCCCAGAAACAAATATGTACCACCATGAACCAATCTGAAGGATGTATTTCTATCACCATCAGACGAGACTCAATGCGTTCACAGAGATTATCACCACCAGCAAGGCAGGAACTGAACTAGAGCAATATCGCAGTGTAACTAAAGCCATCTGTTCAGCTGTGGTCACATGATCTTCCTGTGGCTCTCTTGCGATATCCAGCCAAAATACTGTAAGTACACATTTGTCTGTTGGAACCATTTCCATCCTTTTATCTTCAATCCTATGAGTTAAACACAACGTGTATTAAAGTTTTGTGCACTGAACCCATATCAACATCTCCAGTGTGCGGACATTATAGTGACTCCGGATGCCGGATTGATGGGATACTGATTAAATCCATCACAGCTTAATTATTCCACCTTTTTGGTCAAAAATCTTACTTGAAACATCTCCCTGACTTTCTGCTTTGGTAAATTCACGTTGAGTTTGTGGAGCAGCTGGTGAACCTCTCCGATGCTCAAGGTGCCATCTCCGTTTTTGTCGGCTTCGGAGAAAGTCTGCTGTAACCACGTGAGGCTTCAGTTAAGGAGGAAACAAGCAGAATCATCATCATCATCACAAGTGCATGTGTGGTTAACTCCTCGTTATCTGACTAAGAATAGCACATTTGTAATAATTAGACACCAAGCATAATGAAAGGCTGGATAAAGGATATTGATCACGGGTGCGCTGCCTCCTGGCCAAACTGTCCTCATCACTGATGCCGGCCATGAGGTATGTCAGCCCCGTGATCCATGTGCGGGCCTCCTCTGCGTTGGTGGAGACCAGGTCCAGAGACTTCACTCTCTCCCCGTAGTAAATGCTGAAGCAGTAGTTTGGGTCAAAGCGGTTGTCTGCATACCGCCTGAAGATCTCTGACCTTTTCCCCTCACAGACTTCGTGGATGGAATCAATAGTTACTGCAACAGATGATGATGAAGAAACGTCAGCTTCGTCTAATCAAATTTCGGAAGAGTTTTTCAGTAACTCACTTTTGGCCTTGTCATGTTTTCTGGAGGGCCGCCATCGGATGCAGGACTTGTGCTCGTCCAGGTAAAAGAATCTGACCAGTCCTTTCTTCTTGCCCTTCATTTTGGTCATCTGAGTGCCGGTCTGCATGGTGCACATACACCTCTCCACTACAGGGAGCACAAGAAGTCAGGCTGGTCAGAAAATGCACATTCAACCATTTACTGCAAATATCGGAGCGACTTTATGAAAATATAATATTCAGTTATCAATAATAATGATGACGTGATTAGTTAAGACGATCATCTACGCCAAAAGTGTTTTTATTATTGTTATTCAAAGACGATTTGTTATGAATAAATAAATAAAGTAGAGGTGTTTTATTTTGAAGGAAGACCTCAAGCAGTACTCTAGACCAGCGGTTCCCAAACTCAAGAATGCCACGGCCCACTTTGAAATCAGACAATCTTTTGCGGCCCAACCAAACCTTTAATCACAACTCCGATCAAAACATAAACTAGGGATGATTAAATGACCTTAAGAATTTAACCGATTAAAAATGTATTAACCGACAATGTATGTTTTAGGGCGCATAAGATACTGCAGTCTATCAGCGCAAATCACTGTCAAAATTCGAGAGCGCAAATCAGGTTGATGAGCGCGCGTAAATCAAACATCCGCTAGCAAAAGTCCGTCTTGAGCGAGCAAAAGTCTGTCTCGCGCGAGCAAAAATTCGTCTCGAGCGAGTTATTTGCTCGCTTGCGAAACATGAACTTCCTCGAAGGAGTTTTCTACACGCTCGCTGTTTTTCTTTCTGACAGTAAGGGGGCGGAGCCAGTCACCATGGTATCTACATCTGATTGGTTACAAACCCCGTTTTTGGATTGGCTGGAGCGATCCAGTACTTCCAGGGTCCGATCGCTATGAGGTGCGTCCGCTCCCGGCGCCCCCTCGCCATCCACGCCTTAAATCTTCGGCTCCTTTTAGAATAACTTATTTTCCCCGTTAAGATGGTTCAGCTACTGTAGAGAAAAGGGCGCCGTCTCTCGCTCTTTAATCTCATGAAGTGCTCGGCAAGAACGACAGCTTTGTTTCTCCGACGCGCCCTGAAACAAGCTCCATATCTCACGCGCTTGAGCGCCCGCTCAGCATCTCCAGCTGGTATCCAACCAGTATGGATCAACCGATTAACCAATCTGTTTGTTTAAATTGTTTGTGCTTCATCAATTAATGTTTCACATAACTAACGTGCCGCATCATACATATTTTTATATTAATTTCAAACTTTTCAAAATTGAAAATTAAAAACTTTTTATTTCTTATTTTATTGTAAATGACCTCTCGCGGCCCACCTGCAGTACCTTCGCGGCCCGCCAGGGGGCCGCGGCCCACACTTTGGGAATCGCTGCTCTAGACCATGGGGATTAAAGGCTGCGTCACACACGGCTTTAAGTAGCTGTATTTGTGTTAATAATATTAGTGGAAGAAGGAAAAGATACAAAAACTCTTTGCCTAAAAACGACGTCTCCGGGTGATTAAAATGATTTCCAGAGACTTTTCTGTGCTGATTGCACCGGCTTTGAGCGTCGTCCCTGCACAGAACTGTACTTAGTTGGCGTACCAAACAATTGTGTTGGAACATTTAGGTCACTGCGAAGCGCTGTGTTTGTTTTCTTGGCTGCGAGCAGGTAACCTTTGTTTGTAATCTGAAGCTCAGATGCATGTGACGCACCCTGGCTCATCATTCAGGCTAATCCTAAAGGATTGTCTACTGCCCATAAACCCATTATATCCTCACAGGCTTCCCTGCAACTCTGCTCTGTTATGTTGGAACATTTACACATTTTTCATTTCAGGGCTGCTGCACGACGGTGTCATAGTGAAAGTTTAATCAAATTAAAAAGATGAATTTAATACGTTTGGGGGAAAAATGTATATAAAGGTCCCCTCTTTTGTTTGCGGTGGCTTGTAGAAACTTCTGCTAAACAACCCGTGAACATTCTGCAGTGATTTGATTATTGTTAGAAGGCATCGTCTGTGAGTCTCACCTATCTGGCCCAGTCTCCATTTGGGTTGTGCGACCACGCTGCCGCCGATCCAGAAAAACTCCTCAGCGAGTCTAGAGATCGATGCTTTCTGCCAGAGTTTTGGAGAGCTCATGATGGACGGGTTGGATGAATTCAACGGACTGGACGCCTGCTTGGCCTGATGGGTGGAGCCCTTGGTCAGCAAAGGGGAGAACGCTCCCGATGACAGGGATCCTAAAGACTGAAAGGTGGTCTTCTTGGGTGACGGGGAGGAGCGCGGCGGGGTGCCGCTCAGCCCTGGAGACAGAGGTGCCATTGCTTGGGTGCTGTTCATCCCTGAGCCCTTCATTTGAGTCCAACGCTCCTGTCCCATTCACAGCACATTAACCCGCCTTCCGCTCGCTCTACCTTGAGTAAAGTCTGTTTAAATCACAGCCTCTGTCATGCAGGGGATCCTCTTCTTTCACTTAAAGTCTTCCCACGTTGGATTAGTGAACAATATTCCCATCCTGAAGGTTCAGTCCTTGTCATCCTGCGTCCAGTGATCCAGTGCTATAGATTCTTCCGTATTTATTTTCTCGCCGTCGGAGAAGGCTCGCAGAGAAAGAGCGTGCAACATGTGTTGGTCACTAAATCTTCCCTCAAGCTGTAATCCTGGAGTGAGGCTTCCGTCTTGCTTCAATGGGGGGATTTTCACGCAACCAGTAAGCCTCTGAAGAAAGAGAGTGGAACTAGAAGGATGCTTTTTATTTAACTTCTAATGACTCAATCTTAGTCATTGAATAATATGGAAGTTGCTGGTGATTTAATAGACAGCTTTTAGAATGGTTATTTTTGAATGAAGTGCATTTAGCTAAACAAGCCTGAGATATTGACCCTTCAAATTTGTGAAAGGATTTCCCCCTGGAGGCAACTGTGTGACATGAAATACAGGTATTGTATATCACAAATACATGTAATTTGTGCATCATATAATATATAACCGGATCCACTATACTTAGGTAAAAATAATTATTTGTGATTTCAAACTTAATTCATTTTGCGTCCGCAACACTTTCTCACTCTGTAAGTTTTCCTGAACCTGTTCAATTGGCAAAATGTAACTCAACGGTTGATATCGCACTGGGGATAGAATCAGGAAAAGGAAGTTGCATGAATTTGGATGATGATGTCACAGAACACATTTTTATAAATCTAATAAGGTTCATGACAATTGAATCCATTGAGCTGGCTCAGGATGTGTTCATTGTGCACACACTGTCGCACTATCACGACATACGAACACTAGAATGAAATTGACCCGCTGGTAATGTTACTGGTTTCCTCATGACAATTCAAAAATTCAGCTGTGAAAATCATAATACAACTGCAACTTTAGGCTGCAGTCCTTATTTTATCTAATGGTAAAATACATCATCATTCCAACAATTCTAATCACAATAGCAGGCTTACTAACAAAAGGTCATTAGCAACATTGGGATGGCATGTGCACGGCCTAGGACGGGAATGCTAAAGTCCGCCCAGAATACCACTGGTGCCCATCTAACAAGCCTTATTGATCTTGGCGACAAGAGGTGCCTGAAAAGGAAATTAAAAGACAAGCAACATCCCCCCTGCTGCTGTTTGGCGTATGAGGTACAGAAGTACCAGCTGACGTACCACCAGACATCAGAGCATCTTCTTTCCTCAGGCTGTAAAACTCCAACTCTACACTTCACCATGTAAATGAGTTACAAACAGCCTTGTGTTTGACAATGATAATAAAGGAAACTTTGGACCTTGATAAGTCAGGGGAGCACCAACGTTGTCTGAGAAAACAGGAATGTCTGTAAGAGATTTCCATGGCAGTCCATCTCGTCAATGAGACGTTTCATGTCCCAGTGGCCCACGTATTCAAGCTATACGACTTATATCAATATCAATCCAAACACACAATCATGCATTGTTTGCATTGTGGTCAAAAATAACAAAAAAACACCACAACGGATTGGTTTAGCTTTTAATGAGTATTATACAAGTTTTCTGAAGGAAAAGGAAACATTTAACCAAGAGGCAAGTGAACCCCCCCCCCTTTCAAACCAAAACTACAACAGCATCAGCTAACAAAATGGATATTGATGTTACACTGTACCCAACAAATACAGAGCGAGGGTATCATAGGTAATGATAAGACATAAGTGTTCCTTGTCTAAAATATACGAGAGCACCTAAGGAAGAAGCCAACAGAAGGTGCTGCTTCTGCTGTCTGATGAGGGAGCCGCTGGTGCAGAGATTTAAAATGTGTTTTTCAGTTTTTTGGTCTGCCGTGTAATATACACTCTATAGTTCATCAAATAGTAAAGATCTTCTCAAATAACAAAATCAAGGGACAAATTCTAATATTCTGTTGGTGTGTCAAACCATGACAATATACTGACAGGTTCGTGACCTTTGACGGTTTCACTCTCTTTGTTTAAACCAACAGTTTCATCCATTCTGCTAAACGCCCTGTGATTGCAATGATACTCAGGGATACAACAACAAAATTGCAGTTTCGCAGATCCAAATATAGTCTCTTTTTGGTTTCAAGTAAGAGCTCAAAATTATATTCATAATCAATTTTAAGTCTGGAGCAAGCAAACATACCGACAAATATCTTATTTACAATATCATTGTATTTACATGAGAGGATACTGAGGGAAAGTGTACTTAAATTCAAAGTTCATGTTAACTTTTGTTTGGAAAAATGTAACAGGGAGTACAATGCACACTGCAAGGTTCTTGTCTTTAAAAAGTGCAATTCCTTTTCTTAAAGTAAAAAAATATATATCCATATTTTGTATATATGTAGAAATGTTGTTCATATAAACAGCATTTTTTTGATTTAAGAGCCCTAAAACCAGTGACTAAAAATGTAATGCTTTCTATTGATAGGCAGCAAATTATTATAGAATATAAATTATTTTACAATGCTCAATAGAAAATCAGAAGTACCGCATTTCAACAAAAACAGACAGCTATTGAAATGTTTCTTTTAGGAGGGCATTTGTTGACGTATCTGCACTAATTTGGGCCAAAGAGCATTTGCTATTCATCACGTTGGTTTTTCTTTTTAAGCAAAAAATGACTTTAAAACAATGTTCAAACAACACATAGAAGTTGCATTATAATATTAAAAAGTAACACTTTCATAAAATGTCTAAGCGTAAAACAGTGGTGGACCTGAAGGAAGCCCACCTAACCTCCAATACTTCAGGTTTATAAAATACAAAAGGTAGACAAGCTGGTATACATGCGTACATGTTTGTATATGGATGGGTTTTTTCTTGCCTGTGGAATAACAGTGCTGCACAAGCGATATTTCTTAAAAAGTACATCCTCTACATACTTATAAAAAGCAAGCGGATAATAAAAGTAAATAGTGGTAAACTGGTGTCTCTTGATTCCAGTGGTCTGCAATGACACCTTTGAGTGTACCAATATTTTGTGGCACTAAGAGTTTTATCCACCACTCAACATGTTTCTTCCCTTCATATTCAAGTAGTGTTATGTGGCTATATTTGCACATCTTAGAATAGCTTATACCAAAATAAAATCCTTGGACAGCGTCAGGTGTCTCTGACGTCACTGAAGAGATGTGGTCATCGCTGAAAACGTCTTTCTTAATTTCACGCTTCATAACATGCTGAGACATCATGCTACTTTCCAGTTCTTTCATAAAATGTATAAATTGTCATAATAATATTGATTTATATCATATCATATTATATATGACAGATCTTTCCTCTACAGAATCCACTTTGCAGGTGCAGCAAAGTCCTTAACCATGCTCCTTTTTGTCGAGTCTCTTTCTCCAGCTCTGAATGTGCAACTTTAGGATCCGTTGTTGTGTTGTGTGATCTGTCTGTGTGCGTCTGTATTTCGGCCCTTGGTGTCTCCGGGGGGGCTTCTGTCGGCCTGCAGGGTCAGCTGGCCTTGAAGGTCTTTAACAACGCTCTCCAGGCTCTGCCGAGCTTCCCTCTCCTGCAGAAGCTCCTGCCTCAGCTGCTCGCGATCAGCTTCCGCCTGCTGCAGCTGCACGTGCAACTCCTCGATCTGCACCACACAACCGGAGACACAGTCAGTGTAAATCTATCCCAACGGGATGAGGACGATTACAAAGTAAATGGTGGTGAGAATGAGATGTGTTGCGGACATCTTACCTGAGTGGAGTACTTGACCCGGAGTCGTTCAGCCTCGCAGCCTTTGTCACAAACTCGCACCTGCCTCTCCCGCTCCAACTCCCTCTTCAGCCGCCCACAGGACTCCTCCGCGTCCCTCATCTTCCTCTCCCAGTCGACGCGAAGGCGTTCGATCTCCTTTCTCAGGTTGCGCTTGGCCTCGATGGCCTCACGAAGACGGCCTTTCTTCGCTACCCTCACAAACTCTAATTCCTGTAAAAAAAACAGAAAAGTAAAAGTAAAATCAGAAGCATTTCATGTTTAAAAAACTCATATTTAAGAGAAGTCTGTGATTCCTATCGCACAGCATTTAAGAGGAGCAGCATGTGATACCTGCTGAAGGCTGCGTTTGGCTTGCATGGCAGCAGATAGCTTCTCCTCCTGCTTCACTTTCAACTTGACGATCTCCTGCAGCAGTTTTTCCCGGGCCTCTTTGCTGTCTGGACCGCCGTACAGCATCTGTCTCAGGGCGTCCATCTCCGGGCAAACCGCCCCGGGCAGCCAGCCGGGTGCCTCCTGAGGTCGACCATAACTCTGAGGGCCCAGAGCCTGAGCAACGTTGGTGCAGGCCGAAGGAGGAGAAGCCAGGGAGGAAGGCGGCACTGGACCTGAAGAAGAAAGGGTTCTAACTTAAATAAAGACAGAGATGGCAAGAATACTGTTGTTTTGTCGTCCGAGTTAGTATGCAGAGATTTTGTTTTGCTTTGACAAAGCTTATTTATCATTACGTTTAGCTATTGTAACAATGTGAGGCAACCTTTTCAACCTCCGCCCACTTGCTTTCTAGTTTTCACGGGTTTGGTAAAATTGGTCGAGTGTGAAGGTACAAGTTGTCAATCGCTATAATAAAGAATCCCAACATTCTGCCTTTTCACAGCTGCATGTATCAGCATTAAAAAAGTAGGAAAACAAAACGTAAAAATCCTCACAGCTCCTGTTGCTAAATAATTAGAAGAAATGCAGAAAATCCCTCCATAGAAGAAATAATTAATTCCAGAATTAAACAGAACACTGTTTAACGTCTGCAAATTAAATTTTCCGTGCATTTCTTTAGATAAACATCAGGGGGCGCAGTTGCACAGGAATCCCCCTTTGTCCCGCTCCGCTGTGGCTCATGTCCAGCGGGGGGGACTTACTGTGGAACAGCAAGTTTTTGCTGTAAAATCTGTGCTCAACATTTACTGTCTCTTGTTGTGTTTCGAATTTTCTGGATCACGGTGAAGGCTCCGGCGACCGGCCGTACTCACGATCGTCACAGTCGTCCACGTCGATCTCTCCATCTGTGTCCATGTCTTCCGGTTGGTCGTTGGCAGTGGACGGGGGCGGTTTTGCGTCTCCATTGGGAGCGTGGCTGTCCGCGGGATGGACCGGAGGGGCGAGGGGAGCTGCGGTCGGGTTGGGAGACGCCTCATTACCCTTCGGGAAGGACCTGTGAGAGAAACACATTTGAAGTCTTTTGTTGGTAAAAAAGCTCAATTTGAACAATATTGTCTGCTCAAAGCTGAAACGCAGCTGTCACGAGATGACTCACCTCTCCGCCTCGTTCTGAGTAGCTGGTTTCTCTTTTTCCGCCGCTTTAGGAGACCAGGGGCGGAAAGCAGAGGGCCTCTGTTTCATTTGGACTTGTTTCAGTTCCTGGACCGACAGAACAAAACAGTAAACTTGTGAGAAACTAGAACATTGAATCAGCAGTGACGAGCACACGCAAAGACCGCTCTTTCTTTAATAAGCCTAAATGACAAGATGTCATGGCTGGCTGATCATTTGATGATTCAGAAGGATTACGGATTTTGACTTTTGAGCTCAATGGCAAATCCAGGTTTAACACTAACAACATTCACACAACCAACCTTGTGTGCAGACTTTGACAGCGATTGCAGCCATTCGGGTTTCTTGTCTTTGTCGACAGATGGAGATTGTAATTTGTCCAATTTCGACCTCTTGCCTGGGACAGGGCTGGGAGCCTGAGGAGAGGAGGGGAATAGGCGGTTAATCATTGCAACCCATACAGAGATAGAGTGCGGATGTTACGTCATAGAGTACAATGGATATTCCAGGAGCCCACAAGTTCTATAAAGTAGGACTGCATGATGGAAAATTACACTTTTCTTCAGGCACACACAGACTTTCTACACGGCTTTAAAGTAAAACAGTCACAGAGTCATAGAAAGGAAATCACGGAGAAACAAGGAGGCTAGAAGATGCGTTTCTGTGAAAGCGTTCAGTTGAGCTTGGCTTGTGTGCATGTTTGTACGTGTGTGTGTGTGTGTGTGTGTGTGTGTGTGTGTGTGTGTGTGTGTGTGTGTGTGTGTGTGTGTGTGTGTGTGCGAGCAGTGCTCTGAGCTCAGCAGACACTCAAGCTGGCCTGGCTGGCAGCCAGCGGGGGCTCCATCGCTCCCTACCAGGCAGAAGAGGCGCCATCAGGTGGAGGCCATGGACTCCTCCAACCCACAGAAATATTGCAATATAGAAGCAGAGGGGAAGAGAAGGGGGGGGGGGGGGGGATGTATTAAAGTAATTGCACTCAGATCTGACAGACGATTGAGTTGAAGTGTTCAGAGAGGGTTCGTGGAGGGCTACAGGGAGGCACGCCATGTTTGAGGTGATTTGGAAAACCCGAGGGGGAGAAGCATCCGCTTTGTTAAGCGCCACAAAGTACAGCATCTCCAGAGACCCCGTGGTGTACATATTATATGCATGTGAGTGTGTGGCGAGCTGGTGGACCGTGTGTTGAGATAGCTAACCTCCACGGGCCCTCAGGTCCGCACTTGTCAGACAGAGGATATGTTTACCTAGGCAGGCGCAGAGGCCAGCACAGACCTGCCTGCTCTCTTACTCACTGCTTTGACACTCTGCCTGCAGGAACGGCAAACACTCCCATCTCCCCGCCTGCCTTTTGCCTTTCGGGACAAGTGATTATCCTGTCCACGTTCGAAATCCTCAATGGACGACACCCCTCCTGCCTTCGCGGCCGCTGCACTGTGCTCACCAACTAATGACAGACCTCATCTAGCGTTAAGCGAGAAAAAATGTCGGGATATTGGATCACGTGTCACTGCTTTTCTAGATGCAGCGGGGTGTGTGTGCGTGTGCGCACGCAGCCATGAGTGGGTCCTGGGACGTGTAGGAAGGTGTGGGCTTGCAGTGTGTGTGTGGTGGTATGTGTGCTGGTACAATGTGTCAGCTTACCTGAACCACAGGTACCAAAGTGTAGAGGCAACGTCTACAACCACTGATTAAAGTAGTGTACTTGAAGTCATTTTAAGGTAATTTATCGGGAAGAAAAGAATATTGTCTAGATCACGCGTTTAGAATGTGGGGATCCGTTGGGTAAGACGACTTTTTTCACGATTATCTTGCATTTCATACTTTAAAAAATACTAAACAATAAGATAGCAAACTACGGAATTCAAATTCAGAAAACCAATAATTGAGTAATATACAATGACCTTCGTCAGGAATGTTCTGTGTATTGTTCATTTTCATTTAATTAGATGTTCAGTTTTGTTATTATTTATTTATTATGGTCAAAATAAAATAACTCTATGCACAGCACGTTTGTTTGGATACTCCCCCCGACCCCTCTGTGACTCACAAATGACTCTATACCTGTCTGACCAGCGACCACATCACACGTACACACACACACACACACACACACACACACACACGCGAGCATGTATACAGAGCGTCCTGTTTGTTTTTGCTACTGTGGGTAATTCTGATTAAACGGACCTCCGGCTGACTGCATCCTGCTCAGCAGTAGTGACTGGGCAGCTCACCTGGCTGACTCAAGGCCGGCGGTTTTCTAAGAACTGCTGCCCCGGTGTAATCAGACTCTGTAATTACTGGCATGACTGTTGTTTTCCCGACAAAAGGGATGTCTGCCCGTCTGGTACTATTTCTACCCTGAGGTTTGCAGCTCCAGGAAGGGTACAGGAGCACTAGACATAATAGAGTCAGAAAACAGACACTCCCAGACACCACAAGGGACCTGCTGGCTCAATCTGACGCTGACCTCACAGGAGAGCAGCCGCGCGGGGCTTTAGCTCGCCACCACATCACAGACATAGCACGGCCGCGGAGTCATAACACCCTCCTCGCACATCCTACTGCCGAGCAGGTCCTATGGAGGCAGATGATAGGACATCCCTCTCTCTCCCTTCCTCTTCCTCTCTCTCTCTCCCTGAGAGAGGGGGAGACTTCCTCTGAGGAGTTTGCTTTGGCCGAGTCCCCTGTGGGAACGGAGTCTTGAGTGGGAGGGGGTGGGGGGGGGGGGGGACGGGGGAGCGGGACCACAGAGGAAGCACTGAGCTGAAGGAATGTATACTTGAAGGCCAAGTACAGCCTCTCCTTTAAGTCTCCATTCAAGCAATGCCCTTTTCAACTCGCCATTGTATGATATTTCTTTGAGGCGCTGTAATGAGGGAGCGTTTCAAAGCAAACCTGTAGGCTAAACAGGTTCTAATAGCGGCTGGGCGAGAGACGACATGCTTTATTTTTTAATTAGTGCCACATAATAGTTTGGTAATACCTGGTTAAGCCCCAGCTATTTTCATGCTGGCACGGTAGATAATCACTGAGAAACACGTTACACAACACAACAAATCACAAACATATCAATGAGTAGTTTGACCTGCTTGAAGAATAATCTGTCAATATTGTGCTAACTGGAGCACGATGGCTACTTCACGTGAACATAAAGCTAACCAACAGTATTCCCCCAAAGGTCGAGCTACTCCTCGTATGACCTTACCTATATACATGTTGACCGGCCTCATAATAGCGGGCTAAATAAAAACTTTGAGCATCTGCCGTGCCACTTAAAAAAAAAACGAAACGCAAATTAAATTATCAAGAAATAAAACATGAGGCTCTCATCTGGTGGGACCAAAATAGTTTCCCCAGTGGAATTTCCTGGGGCAACCGTCATACAACACCGACGCACGGTGCATGATAGCACGGCATTAAGAAAAGTGCACGGCAACAAGACAGAACAGTTTCAGATTACAGCCTCTTTTCCCCTCCTAAACCCCTGAACGTAATCCTCAGATCGACATGTGCTTAGCGGGGCGCTGTCTCACTCAAGGGCACACCAACTGGCACGGCTCGCTTGGGTAACGGCCTTAGTTGGAAGTGAGAGAATACTAGTTTTGGTAATCTGATCTTTGTGGTTCTGCGTGGATGTTCCCAGAGATGCCCCGAGCCCTCTATTCAACTCTCACTGCATAAATTGTGCGACAGTCTTTTGATTTATATAAAGCCCTGTGGTCGCTCTCCAACAGCTGAGGGGAAATTATTGGTGTCTGCCCAGAATATCCCTGAAACTTCATCCCTGCTTCACACAAATACAGCTCAAGCCTCCATTTCCACTCACTAAATCTAAGCTTAATTTATCAATTCATTCCGTCTCCGGTGCGCCGTGTTCGAGAATACACTGTTTATGTAGCTGAACTGAGCCACGACACTGTTTGGACACACGGAGAGTTGCAGGGCTTGGCATTAGGTCGGCATTACACTAAAGCTTATTGGATTGCCGTAATTGTCTTTGGGATTGAGACTTGATGGGGTCTGAGTCGGGCCGCGGGACGAGCTGCTGCTGCGGCTCCTTAAGGTGGAAAATATCTCACCGGGTCAAGGCAGCAGAGCCACACAAGTGCTCAGCATTAGTGAGCCGTGTGGGAAACGAACGTAGGATCGAGAGAAGCAGAGATCTCGAAGAAGTTTGTGGTCTTTGAGCTGCGTGAATGAAACTGTGTTGACTCGAATTTAACGCCGCAAAAGATATATTTCTCGTCAGTTCATCGCTGCCATCGTGAACTCCCGCAATCAGACCTGAAAGAAGTAGTCATCTATTTATCTGCTTTACTTACTTACTGTTTGTATATTATCAGTCACATACTATGTTGTATTGGGTCGTTGTGGAGCTGTTACCGTTTTATTTACGCTCTCCGGTATTTTATTCTGTAGAAATGTAGAAACATTCACAAGCTCATCACGCTCTGTAAAATTAGTTTTAGTTTTGTGTGTAGCTCCTAAATAAATGTAGCCAAGTAAAAACTACAATATTTCACACTGAGTTGCAGTACAGCAGCATATTAAATTCACCTTGAAATTGTTATTTAGTCGAAGTGCCTGACTACATGTTCCTGCTTACGTTTCAACGTGAATGTATCAATGTACCACATAAATTCACCTCAATCACATGCAATCACACAAGTTCAAATGTGAACTCAAACTATTAAGACACACACTACACTTTTTTTTTTTATTAAACTCTCTATAATCCTTTGATTACACGTTCCATTTATACTCCCTGCGTCATGAAAAAAAAACTGTTCCCAATTGAAAGGAATTCTTTGAGAAGATCATCTTGCTTGTGAGTGCAAACAAAACGATGGATTAATGTACTTCTGCACAGTGGGAAATGAATTCCAATTCAGGTCCAAACAAGGCAACCAAAACAGGACATGCCAGCCAGCCCGACTGACTCTCCAAATCAGTGGCTCGACTCGAAGAGTCAGAAAAATGACCTCCGGTATTCCTGTTCCTCTGTGGAAAGCGTCATGGGGGGCGAGGGAAGATGGTAAGGAGAAGTCCTTCAGGTGTTTAGGGAATCCGACTGCACTTCCACAGAGCTACGTCGCTGCGACTGGAGATGCACGTCAGTCTGCAGCGGCGTAATTTAGATGTTGCCACCGCGAGGAACTGTGAGACGAATGATCTACTTTCCTTTCTTTAAAGGACGGTCCAGTGGTTCCTACGCTGAAGGAGGTAAGTGGGGAAGCGTTGGAGCTCCTTTCCTTTTTAGCATTTACAGAATTCAAACAGCGCTTATCATGGCGGCCACTTCCACACACTACTTCCTCGTCAATTCACTCACTGAGGAAAAAGGCCTATTGGAATCCAGCTACGGTCTCCCCCTGATAGGATGACCTCAAACTACAAAGGTCTCATCCGTCAT